AGATTTGCTGGATACCGTCGACTAATGCATAGATTTCCAGATTTGTTCTTTTATTCTATGTTTTGCTAGGCTACCAGCCGGGCCGCCCGGGTCACCCTATTTTCCCGGGCGGCCCGGCCGTTCAAGGACCAGGGAAGGTCCCAGCCAAAAAAAAATAAAAAAAAATCCAAAACATCCGAAAAAAAAACTATGTTATGCAGCAAAAAAAAAAAAAAAACCCAAAAAATCCGGAAAAAAAAACTATGTTATGCAGCAAAATAAACTGAACAACTTTTGCCTCAGGGTCGCATCGAAATTCTTTACCAGATTTAAAATAAAAATTTTAAATAATTTTTATTTTTTTATTTTTTTCTATTTTTTTTATTTTTTTTGGCCCGGCCAGGCAAGTGGACCCGGGCCACTCTGGTAGCCTAGATATTTTGCCTTTTTCTAAGTTTTTTTTTTTTTTTTTTTGGGTTTTTTTTTTTTTTTTTTCAATTAATCAACGTTCCGGGCCAGGTCTTCTACCCCTTGGGTGGTGAGAGCCCCAGAGGGTAGAAGCCGGCAAGGCTTCGATGGCTTCCTTTCTATTGGTGGGGAGCTGCACCCGCTGGAAATGGGGTCCAGCGTCCCTTCCAATGGAAAAAATATCCCGTAACTTCTCAAAATTCAGAGACTCTCTGGGCTTTCAGCGAAAACTGGAACCTCTTCGCTGTACCCTAAGGGCGTCTGAAATGAGTTAGCATCTAGTCCCACTACCCACTGTACCCAGACGTGTAACAACGAATTCTGAGGATCACGAAGTTCCACAATTAGCTCAACAAGTGAAGACTAGCTCCTAGATACTGAACAACATAACCAATTCTGAGCAAGCCTATCCTTTTGGCAACTGCCTTTGATTCTATCAATAACCACTTCATGGAGGTGTGTGACCCCTCAGTGAATGTTCAATGATCTCTCTGCTCAATGATGTTCAATGATTCAATGATCTCTCTCTCTCTCTCTCTCTCTCTCTCTCTCTCTCTCTCTCTCTCTCTCTCTCTCTCTCTCTCTCTCTCTCTCTCTCAATTTTCCAATCCCATATTCCCCTGCCAGTTACGAGCTTTGTCGACACTGTTGTCTTCGCCCTCCTTCTGCTCAACGCCTTTCATGTCATTGGCACCTTTGGAATCCACACTCTTGTCTTCACTTCTCTTCTTATCCCAATAGACTGTACCGCCCAGACCTGCGACATCATCTTCCCTTTCTACATCCCCAGTCTTCTGATTCCAACAATCCATATCATCATCATCATCATCACCATTTTGAGGTGATTCCAGTGGTTCCGATGATTCATTATCCGCATCATTATCATTATCCCCAGTCTTCTGAGACCAAAGATTCCGACCATTCATATCACCATTATCATCATCATCATCATCATCATTAACATCATCATTACTATCATCATCATCATCATCCTCCCGCTGAACTGTGAATATCATCCCGTGTATTCCTCAGATCGACATCATTTGCTCTCAATACCTCACCATCACCTTTTTGAGGCCGATGGCACTGCCCTATCACACAGACCCATCTTAGTTCACACCCACAGTTTAAGCACCGCACGTTCAACTCCATCAGAATCCCTCCACTGTTTCTTCAAACTATCCTTAATCTGCCAGAGCTCCTGGCTCTTGCTGTGGCTGACTCTCACGTTCGTTTTTGTAGCCACCGCTTCTACCTTCAATGGAGGACGCACCTAATCTCGGTCGATGAGGAGGGGGGTGTGATTAAGCCCTTCAAGGGGCCAAGTTCCGAAATTAACGGGCCAAGAAGAGTGTGTGAGGTGGGTGTGGTAAGATAGCGCCTGGGAGAGAAGCGGGAGGGTGAAAACGAGAATCTTGGAAGTGAGCAACGAATCATCCGGCTATTTGTTCTGTTCCATAAAATTACGGGGACGCTGTTGAGGACGAGTGCTGCTCTCTTGGGTCGGGGGGTGGCATGGGGGTTGGGGGTGCATGGTGATACCGTGGCAGTCCAATGGTTGGGAAGGGGTGCCTTGTAGGGAAACCAATGCCGAATTAAGGGGTGTATCCTACTCTCGTTGGCTGTAGACCCATGCAGGTGAGGAGTGAGTCCGCAGCGGTTGGTGGAGGGTAGTTGATGATGGACGAGGTCTCCTCCAATACCACTGGTCAATTCTCCCTGGCGAATAACAAGGTACACACACACAGTCAGGTACTTGTGGAGGTGGTACGAGCACCTCTCACCAGTACGCAGTACTCACTTCGTAGAGGCTCCATGGTGGGGAGCAACATATAACCATACATATATATAGCCCACGGGCACACATCCATGATACACAAACACACACGCATCACAAACGGCTGGGTGGAGGTCACGCAGGGGCCAATAGGTGATTGTTAGAGCCTGGCGTCCAAAGTACCCGTACGGCAAGGCTCGTTCGACTATGCTTCAACCAGGGCTAGGTCGCTAGCCCTGGTGCCTGTCGTTACTGTTCGGTCCAAGTCCCCCTCGATACTGGTAGGGTGACGGTCCTGAGTGCTGGTCACACTAAGGAAGGATAGTAGGGATAGGGGATACGCTAGGAGTATTGACTTGAGGTTGGGATGGGTGGTGACCTTGCCTTCCCAGAGCGAGGGTAGACTACTTCCGGCAATCAACGTGTGCCTAGTAACCGGCCTCTACAACACCCTGGACTTAAAAAAAAAAAGAAAAAAAAAGGAAACTGCCCAGCGAGCTCTCAGTGCCTTCCTTTAACCCTATATTCCGTATCTTCCGGCGGATACTGATCACCTCTCCTCCTACCGTTAATGAAAAGGACAGAAACCTACTTCGGCCCAAACGAATGATCAGGGCCGAGCTATAACCAATGTCGACCTTCCTATATTGAAAAAAGGGCCCTGACCGACTGGCCGTTCATCAAACTACGTAATGAGGCCCCCCTTTTCAAAAAAAGGAGGAAGGTCCTAGATGAAAAAAGGACGGCCCAGATCTCGACGGAGTGTTACGTCGACCAAGATCTGAATATTAAAAAAGGGGAATCGTACTTCGGCAGGAGTGAACCGAGTTATCAGGACTGAGCTAACCAGGGCCGACCTTTTTGTACAGAAAGGGAACCCTGACCAAGTGGACGTTCCTCAAAATATGTAATGAAGCCCCCGTTTTCTCAAAAGGAAAAAGTTATATTCAACCCTAGCTGTAGAAAAGGATGGGCAAGATCTTGACAGGGACCTACGACGGCCAAGAGCTGTAGAAAAGGACAGAAACCTACTTCGGCCATCAGAGTTGAGGCCGACCCTCCTATAGTGCAATAAGAGCCCTGACCGACTGGCCGTTCCTCAAACTACGTAATGAGACCCCCCTTTTCAAAAAAGGAGGAGGATCTATTCAAACCCTAGATGAAAAAAGGACGGCCCAGATCTTGACAGGGGGCGATTTATCTGTGATATCAACCAGAGATACCGATGGCCTCTCGGGCCTGACAATACTTTCCAAACCGCAGTCTATGTCCCTACGCGTGGGGTGGAATCCCACAAATTGAAACAAGGCGCAAGCGGACACGGCTATCACTTCGGAGTAGCCACTGCTTCCTGATCAAGGACCTGAAGCAAAACCCAAAGGAAGAGAGAACTCGTGAGGCAAAAACTATAACTTCGGAAGATCTAGAAATGGAATACTCAGCCACAGCGGTCGGCCGAGGAGCCAGTCCCAGCAACGATAGGTCATGCGAGAAAAGAAATACCTAAAACAGAAAGGACAAAAAGAAGCCCTCACAAGACCCGTCCGAGACAGCAGCTAAGATCCAGAAACGAAAAACCATGCGCAAAAAGGAAATACCTAGCACAGAAAGGACAAGAAGAAGCCCTTGCAAGACCTGTCCGAAACAGCTCCTAGCGACCATACAGTTGTCTTGGTGAGGGCATTACCTCGAAAGCACTTTGGCTGCACCAAGTATTCTGCACCTTGTATCATCCTTCTGCTGGCCCACTAGTTGCAAGTATCGGAACACCGCCGACTCGCTCCCTCGTTTGTTCCCGTTTGTTCCCGTTTGTTAGCATCCGGCGAAGAAAACCGTCGACGAAGCGTCTGCAAGCAAATCTTCACGTGTCGAAGAATCATCAAGCCTGCAGATCTGACCGTGCTTTTGCCACGGCAACAGTCATGGTCGCCGCCAGCAAGTAGACGCCTCGTGACGAGGAATCACCAAGCCTGCAGGTATGACCGTGCTTTTGCCAAAGCAACAGTCCCGGCCTCGAGACTTGGCTCCAGGCTGCGCCGCCCCACTGTATCATTCCCAAGAAGGGTGTGAAGTGCCTGCCACTGCTCCCCTGGAGATGCCACGTGTTCCGTAAGAAGCTCGCTGCACGCAGCGCTCTTCAGTTCGACAAAGTTCGTATGTGTTCCCACTGATCTATATCCGCAGTTCGTGAAGAAGCCCTTCAACCCGAGTCTCCACCATACCTCCCCTTACCCCTGGACAAGTTCATGTCACCTATGCTCAAGTTCACTGTGACGTCTGACGGCTATGTAACCCGCCTTCCCCGTGCTTAGCGCCCCGGGGCATGGCGGTGAACTCCGCGCTGAGAGATGAGGAAACCTAACGCACGCGCGTCGCTGGATTAGACCGCTATGGCGCCCCCTCCAACTTCCTTTTCGTTTTCTTTTTTTCCTTCTGAAGAAGAAGATAAAGTGCTCTCCTCTCCCGATTTACAAGAATTAGTGAAGGTAAATTTAAAATTTGGAAATCATTATCCACCCCGGATAAATCGTTCTCTCTCGCTCAGCCTTATCCTCATCCTTTATGGGGGCAAAGCAGCTTAAAAAAAAAACAAAAAAAACAAAAACAAAGAGCATGGCCTCTATGGCAAGGATTACACACATAAATCGAGAGACGGTCCAATTTTTTGGGGGTGTAGCTGAAAAAGTGGGGGAAACAAAATCAGCTTTGAGTCCTCATGGACATCCATAAAAATTGGAACGAAACAGAGAAGATTTTTTTTTTTTTTTTTTTTGAAACAGAGAAGATTAGCATGCCCCAAGTGCAAGGATGACACACATGAATCAATTTAAGTGGGGGGGGGGGAATTGGAGGCGGCGGCAAGCAGCGGGGGATCGCTAACGCACGCAGTGCAACACAGGCACTGCATGCATGCCAGAACTCGCCGACGGAATGGCACAGACGCAGGGGGTGAAGCGCGCGTGTGGGCGTGGGTTGGGTTGCTGTCCAGCTGGGGTATTACCACGCCCCTGGCTATGGCTGGCCTTGGTCGGTGGGAGCCGGCAATCCTTGTTAAGTCGCAAAGGGAGAGAGTCACACGTGTGGCTGACCGCGAGGCAGGGTTTTCTAGCCGCCAACATACTATAAATGAAGATTGATCAGGGGCTCCTGCCCCCTGATCTCAGATATGTAGCTACGTGGATCGCTGGTGTCGGATGCTGCCTTCGAAAGGTGATTCTCGTGGAGAGTGCGCGAAGGAGCTGAAGCCACTGCTTGTTGGAAGATGCTTACATGGACTACTGCGACTCTGGTCTTAGTCCCCCTCACTGTTGCGAAAGCGTGGGCGACTTTGGCATGATAGGGTTGTGCTCAGTTCACTGTTGGTAACAGCTGGCAAGTTTTTTTTCCTCGTCGTAATAGAGGAACTCTTTTTCCGGTTTAGGGTTTGTTTTTGTTTCCATTACTGAAGTTTTGCGTTTTCAGTCTTTTGGCGGTCTGTGAAATCGCTATTCCTAATTTTGTTGATTGGTTTCGTTAACTTTGTTTCCTTGCTTACTACATTTAGTCGCCGTTTTAGGCGTGATTGTTAACTGTTGCTATTAAGAGTCAGGTTAAGAGTCTAATTAGTGTTTTCGATTTTGTTGCCGTTTTGGTAGTTCTTGTGCTAGGTTTCTTAGTCTGCTTAGTGGATTTTTGGTTTTGCAGTTCCTTAGCCGTTCAATTCCACCGAATTGTTTGTAGTTCTACTTGATAGCTATGGCTGTGATGTGGCGAGATGAACGTGGGACTGTCGCTCTGCGAAGACCCTGTCATGGTGGGCGGCGGGGCTTTTTAGAGGGTTGATGCTGACTGGGGGAGCAGTTTGCCCTAAATCGCGAGGAGGTGGGTGGGTTTGCAGGGTCTTTCGACCCTTGCCGCGCGGGTGGTAGGGCGCTCTGCAGGTTCATTAATGTTATGGGATTGCGTTAATCTCCTTACAAGTCCTCGGGTTTTTTTTCTATCATCCTTTTCTTTTGGGACTGGAGAGCGTCGCTCTGCAGGATTTTCATCATGGAGGGAGGTGAAGATCCCTTTGGGAGTGTACGTGGATGGGGGTGCGGATTACCCTAAATCGCGAGGAGGCGGGTGGGTTTTGCGGGGCCTTGGCCCCTGCCGCGCGGGCAGTAGGGTATTTCGGAGGGTTTGCTGACACCATCGTGGAGGGAGTTGGTGTCTTAAGGTAGGTAATGTGGGGGTGGAGCGATCTGTTTTGAATCACGAGGAGGTGGGTGGGTTTGTGGGGTCTGTGGCCACAGATCCCTACCGCGCGGGTGGCAGGGTGGATCTGCAGGGTTGGACGATATCCAA